CGATGGGGGAAAGTGGTGGGTGCCGGGAGGCGGAGGCTGACGCGCCTGGGGGTGTGTGTGTGTTTGTGTGTCCCCCGCAGAGGATGAGATGTTCTCGGACATCTACAAGATCCGGGAGGTGGCGGACGGCCTGTGCCTCGAAGTGGAGGGGAAGGTGAGTGCCCGCCCGGCCCGAAGGAGGGAGGGAGGAAGGGTTGCCGCGGTGATTCACGGCCGGTGGGGAGGGCGGGTGGCGTCCCTGCGAAGAGCCCGAGGTGGGAGGGAGAGAAGGGAAGACCCACCTCGGCCCAGCGCCTGGTGCTGCCGTGGGTGGTGCCTGAGAGAACCCGGGTCAGCTAGGCTGAGTGTAATGGAATTTGGCTTAGGCGCCGTGGGGGGAGTCGTGCTTGGGAGTCATAGAATGATAGAATGCTTTGGGTTGGAATGGACCTTGCAGATCATCTAGTTCCAACCTTCTTGCCTTGGGCAGTGACATCTTCCACCAGACCAGGTTGCTCAAAGCCCTATCCAGCCTGGCCTTGAACAATTCCAGAGATGGGGCATCCACAGATTCTCTGGGCAGCCTGTGCCTCCCACGTAAAGAATTTCTTCTTAATACCTAATCTAAACCTACAGTCTTTCAATTTGAACCCATTCCCCCTTCTCCTGTCATTGGGAAATTAGTGCTCAAGCTGCAGCCAGGTTCCTTGCACTGCACTGTGTCTTTGGAGTTGTGCCCTGCTGTCAGGTCATAGGTGTGTAAGAGCGGTAGCGTTAAGGTTTTTTGCAGAGCCGTTAAGTTTTTTGATGTCTCTAAATCTAGATGGTCACCAGGACAGAGGGTCAAATTGATGACTCTCTAATTGGTGGCAATGCCTCTGCTGAAGGTCCTGAGGGAGATGGAACAGAAGCCACGGTCATAACTGGTGTTGACATAGTAATTAACCACCACCTTCAGGAGACCAGCTTCACAAAAGAATCCTACAAGAAGTACATCAAGGATTACATGAAAGCGTAAGTGTTGGTAGACATTTCCTTTCAGTTGGATTGCTGTGGTTTTATGTGCTTGAGATTATAAAAACAACATTGGATATATTCCTGGTAGGCGTTAGTTCCCATACAGGTGTGAAACTGGCTGTGAACGTCAGTGATGTCTTAGTGCTTGGCAGAACTGGAGTCCCAAAGAATGGGTGCTGGAATATTCTGTGTTTATCTTGGCTGAGGTAGAGGACCTGATCATGAGCTTTGGATCTTACTTGTAACCTTGCTCTTTTCTTTTGTATTTCTCCATGCCAAACCTTCATGTGGAAGGGACTGAGGTGGTAAAGAAAAGCTTCTGAAGCTTTTCTAGCATGACAATGTAAACAGCTAAAAAAATGTGTGTGAATGGGTCTTTTTGCTAGTTCACAGTGTAATTTCTGTTGGTTGGTGTTCAGTGGGGTTACTACTGAAAGTGAAGAAGCTTTGTGACATGGGTGGGTGATAACTCTTGCTGCTGTGGAAAGGGCTTACTGATTTTTGCCTATCACTAGCCTGGTCATAAAATGACATTGGTAGGAGTGGCAGGTGCTGTTCAGTGCTTTTACTTGGAAAATTAAGTTAAAATTTGTGGGCTTTGAGAGGAAGGTGGGGGGAAAAGCAGCAAAATCTAAGTTTGACAGGTAGCTACTCCTTCTGCTATGAAATCCTGCCAGACAGAGATGTTATTAAACTAGAACATGTTTTCAGGACATTTTTTTCTTTCTCCTTCCAGAATCAAAGCCAGACTCGAGGAACACAAGCCAGAGAGAGTAAAGCCTTTCATGACTGGGGCTGCAGAACAAATCAAACACATCCTTGCCAACTTCAAAAATTACCAGGTAAGTTTAAGTTGTCTCCTTACAGCAGTATTGATAAGCTGTAATTGGTTCATTTGCTGAACAGCTTATTGAGAATTTTGAGGGCTCCTGTTGTGAGGGTGCTAACCTGACCCTCTCTGAGAGTGTTAGGGGCCCTGAGAGCCAGGGAGGAGAAACAAGTCAATGACTGTTAACAGTTTGGGGATCTAGTTTCAGCTGGTAATGCTTGTAGTTAGCTACATTTATTGTTGCAGTGATTCAGAGACTGTGCAGTTAGACTTGGAAGGTGGATCACTTTGGCCCTTGCTATCTCTTACTCTGTTCATAGCAGCATGATAAAATTACTGAATCACAGAACGCTTTGGGTTGAAAAGCATCATTGAGTTCCAATCCCCTGCCATGGGCAGGGACACCTTGCACCAGACCCAGTTGCTTAGAGCCCCATCCAACCTGGCCTCAAACACTTCTAGGGATGGAATAGCCACAGCTTCTTTGGTCAGCCTGTGCCAATGTCTCACCACCACCACAGTAAATAATTTTTTCCTAATATATAATCTAAATCTACCCTCTTTTGAGTTTCAAAGTCATTCCCTGTTGTCCTATTGCAACATGCCCCTGTCAAAAGTCCCTCTCAAGACTTTTTGTAGCCCCCATTAGGTACTGGAAAGTGCTGTAGGGTCTCCTGGAGCCTCTAGGGGTGAACAAGCCCAACTCTCTGTGTGTCCTCATAGGAGAGGTGCTTCAGGCCTCTGACCATCTTAATGGCCCACCTAGCTTGGTCCAGCAGGTCCATGTCCTTCTTGAGTTGGGATCCCAGCTCCAGAGCTGGATGCAGAACTCCAGGTGAGGTCTTAGCAGAGCAGAGGAACAAAATCACCTTCCCTGACCTGCTGGTCACTCCTCTTGATACGTTTGGGTTTCTGGGCTGCAAGCTCACAGTGCTGGGTTACACAGAGTTATTTCTCATCCAACACCCCAGGTCTTTCTCCTGAGAGCTGCTGTCAATCTGTTCTCGAGCCCAGCCTCTTATTTTTGCTTGGGGTTGCCCTGACCCATGTGTAGGGCATTTCACTTGGCCAGCTGAACTTCACATGGTTCCCATGGATCTACCTCTCCAGCCTGTCAAAGTCCCTCTGGATGGCATCCCTTTCTTCTGGTGTGTTAACCATGGTGGCACTAAGATGGATGAGCTGCAGAGAAGGAAAATCCCCATGGCTGTTCAGGGATACCTTTAAACTGAACTTGGTGATGTTGCATTGTTTGTGTATAAAAAGTTATTTTCTCCTGGCATTAGCAAATGTCTTAGTGGCACGTTCTTCTGAAGTTCTTTGTAGGGGAGAACATGAATCCAGATGGAATGGTGGCTCTCCTGGATTTCCGTGAGGACGGTGTGACCCCATATATGATTTTCTTTAAGGATGGCTTAGAAATTGAGAAATGTGTAAGTACTGAACTGAAGTGGGTGAATGGGCCCAATTACATGGTGAGCTCCTTCATCTCTTGTTCTCCTGTATCCCTGTTAAAGTTGAACAGTAGCTGCTGGTTTGAAAACTTTAAATTTTGTGTAAGTACAGCCTGATTGGTGCTTTCATATTCTACAAAGTGACTGAAACTTTCTTTGAGTACTATTCAGTTGTACTAAAGGGATATAGTGTCACTGCAGTGATTCATGGTGACTTAATGGCTAAGAAATGCAGAAGGAATGACCCTGGTGAGATGTGTATAATTGGGGATGGGCTTAAACCATTAGATTCAAGAGCAGGTCCTCTGAAGTGGAGCATTCTTTTGATCCCTTTTCTGGGAGTTAATTGTGAAGTACCTTGCATGGTCATGTTCCATCTTTCACTTAATCTGATGTCCTTGTACAAGAACTGTCAGTTTAAATGTTGCCCTAAATTCGGAAACATAGTAATATTTGAATAAAAGGTACTTAACCTTATTCTATTTAGAATCTCTAACTCTACCTGAGCTCAGGACAGCTCCTGTGGTCTGCTTTAACTACTCTGTATTGGAATGTGGTTGCCACAGGACAGTATTTGGATCCCAACACTTCTGGGTTTTTGCCTTGCTTGGAGACCCATGGAATTCACTGCACTGTGGGATCGATCACCAGTTGCTCTGCCCAGTCATTGTGGACTTGTGAAGTCTGTATATAGACAGCTAAATTTATCTGTAAAGCCTCTCAGAGTCTTTCTGCTATGCAAGTCATGTAAAGATGAGCCAGATTCTGGTGTGGAGCAGTTGCCCAATGAAAGGAATCCACTTAATTGGCCAGACAAACTCAGCACCTCCCACAGCCTGATGGAGGGGGGATGGATGTCTGTCCTGGCCCTGGAACAGGGGATCAGCTGGAAGGTACCTCCTGTGAGAAGATTCTGTGCATCTCTTCTATGGGAGCACATCTTTTGGATATGTTGTTTGGATAACTCTGTCTACTTTAAGGTGGAGTAAAGGAACAGTAGCAGGGTGTTCCCATGTGCAGTAAAACCTGCTTCAGCTTCTTGGTGCAGCTGTTTTCAGAGACAGCAGGTATATTGTAAGCTCTGGTACTTGTTCAGGATATGCTCTTACTTGAGAGGAAATCTGAACCTTGGTGTGTCAAACAGGAAGGGTGTGAATGAGTGTTCCACCTGGCTTGTTCAGCAGCTGGTGGGTGCCAGTTGCTCTGTACAATTGTAAAAATGATCAGCATCCTCTGATAGACCATGAGCACTTTTCCTGTTGCTCCCTGGTTTGCACTAAGATGCAAAAATAACTTCCTTGCGCTTTCTGCCTGCCTGACTGTGGCAGCTCAGATTGAATTGGGGAATACACAAACAAGTTACAGAAACTTGCTGTTACTGCCATGACCTTCAACTAACACTTGCTACTCTTGTTTCAGTAACAAATCAAACGGTATGGTTTTGGATCACTTGTCTTCATAGCTGGCTGCTGTTTCTTCATCGGCACAACACCAGGAATCAGCAATGTCTAACAACTGGACTGATGTCATCTTGAGCTTTATTCACTTATTTTGACCCTGATTTGGAGTGGAGGCATTGTTTTAAAAAAACAAAAAAACATCTATCATGTAGGTTGTCTAAAATAAAACTCATTTAAACTCATTCTAGGTGGTGTCCTTTGGTCTGATGTGTCTCTCAAGGTCACTCAAAGGACAGGTTGCGCCATGGATTGGGTGCTGTCAGTAGCATGGCTGCTGCTAGTGCATTACAACTGGACTGTTTCCAGACAGATTTCAGTTTGCCTGTGGCACTGGAGTGCAGAAGCAGGTTGAGGTCAGTAAGACAAAGTCCAAGAATTGTTCTAATGGAATGGACCACCTTCATCTTTTGTGACTGTGCAGGGACTTATCTCTGGAAGAGGTAAGAAGTGAATAATAAAAACATCCCAGAATGGAATATGTGCTATTCAGGTGGAGTGCTGGCTGAGCTGCTTTGTCACATGAGTACTTGAGCCTCTTCTGAGCTGTAGGATGTCTCCAAGATCAAGGCAGGAGCCTGGATGGGAATACTGGGGAGAGAAGGTAAAATGGCTGAGTTTTCCAGCACAGCCTGGCTGTGGTACTTTGTATTTGACAGCTGTTGGGGAACATATGAACTAGAATTCAGTCAAGCTGCAGGATTTGGGGGTTTTCTGTACTTGGCCTCTTGGAGAGAAATGTTGGAATTTCTAGAGCAGCCTAGCCCTGCTCTAGACTGCTTCCAAACTGGGTGATTGCCTGTGTGTCAGACTTGCAGTGTTTGTAACTTAGTTCCTGCTGTGTGTCTTGTTGGGGAATGCATCTGTTTGACAGACCTGGAGCAAACACTGTTGCTTCCTAGGTTCTCTCTTGAGATGCAACAGTAATGAGTTCCTTGCGCTTTCTACCTGTCTGACCTCATGGCAGTTTGGATTGAATAAAGGAACACAAATTCCTTCAGAGCCCCACCTGGAGCAAGGGAGTGTCTGTTGCTGCTGACCGTGTTCCTGACCAGGGATGTTACCTTGGACTGCTAATCATTAACTTTTTTCCTGCTGCAGTGATGGCAGAGGGATAGGGAGGTTAAGGTACCAAAAAGGGGAGGGCATGGCCCTCTTGCCAACTGTTTATCTCCTTCAGACTTTTCACATCTTTGTGTCAGTGTTTGGCCCCTGGTGCTGGAGGGTGGAGGTGGAGGAGGGTTTCTGCAGGGGTGAGATAGATATGGCAGCAGGCTGGGAGGAGTGAGAGACTGGAGAAGGGAGTGGAGTGTGCCTTAGTTATCTCTCAGGTTCCTGTCTGGTTAAATAAACCCCATTTTAGTTCTCTTCTGGATAAGGTACAATTTTGGTGTACCCAGCGGGGCTGAAAGGCAGGGAGGCAGGTTCAAAGCCTAAAGTCTAGCTTTTCTTACAGATTGTGTTTATTTGGGCCAGGTAAGGATGTTGTCTTCCCTTTCCTGTTGCATCTTCATTAAAAATGGGAGTATTAAAGGAGAGGGAAACAGCTGAGAATTTTACTTCTCAGCTGAGTAAAGTTAGTGTGGGCAGGGCAGTGCTGGTATAACTGTGCTGCCCCTCAGTCTGGCTCCCACCTCCTATGAGTTAAAGTTTAAAACTCCATGTAGCTGGTATGTGGGAGTGGAAATGACTCCTCCCCCTGCCTGGCTGGTCCTGCCAAGGCTGGGAGCCCTGGGCACCAGCCTGGAGCAAATTGCCACGTGGCACCTGTGTACAGATGCAGTGCTGCTTTGAAAAGCAGGTGTTTCAAAGCATGATGAGCACAGCCTTGCTGCTTGGTTGAATGGCAAATTGTGTGTCATCCTGTCTGTACACCAGGCTTATTGGGGTACTTAATTGTGTGTGCAAACACTCCTAACTAGGGATATCTGTGCTCCAAGCAGGTGTGCTTTTCTGCACCGCACAGCCTCTGATGGGAAGACTCCTTTCAGCCTGCTGCAATGAAGTATCAAGTTCTAAGGCTCTGGAGATGCTGGATTTTGTTTCTTCAGTGAGCTGCAAGAGTAGTGTTCTTGCTGCCCTCACTGCACTTCCCAAAAATGCATTGCTGCCTATAGTTTCTCAGGGGAGAGGATAAGTCTTGCTGCTCTGCAGCATCAATTCTGTCAGAAGCACCAGGGAGGGTGTGGCAGGGAAGGACTGCGGCAGTGACAAGCAGTTGTCGCAGCTGCACTGCTGTGGTAGCTGGCTGCTGTGAAGTCAGGGTGAGGGAGAGGTGGGAGTCACTACATGCTGTGAAGGGGGAGGCCTGGTGCTGGTAAATGTGCTTGTCCACAGCCCATGATGCAGTTCTGCACTGGGAAGGAAGTTGGCGTAGTTCCTCATAGCGTAATTCCTACTCTTCTGGCCCATCTTCATCTCAAGCAGCTGTTTCTTTCCTGGGCCTGAAAAGCTGAAGTGATTTGGAAAGGAAAGACTTCATACTTCAGACAACAGCTTTGGAGTTATTAGCCCTGCCTTGTTTTAAAATGTGCTTATCAGGATTGAATCTCTCATTCCTGGAAGGATACTCTCAGTGGATTTGGGAAGGATCCAAACTCTATTTTCCCTGTGCCTCGTGGAGCAGGTTAAGCAGCTGGGTAGAAACCTTCCTTATGCTGGCTCAAGTCTCGGGCTCTGTGGGGCCAGGAGGCTGCTCCTGCACCCACTATAAGCTGGATGCTGACAGGGGAAGGAAGGCTGATTTGCTTATGGAGAGGAAAAACCAGCCTTTTCAGTTTCATACTTCTGTGGTTAAAGGAGTGATGCCTTGGGGCTGAGGGAAGCAGCTGCTGTGCTGGGCAGATGTCCCATGATCCCCTTGACCTTCTGCCCTCCCCCCCACACTGTTGCCCCTCAATGCCTGCTTTTTGTGTTAGTTTGCTACCCCACCCACAAATCCACTCTATTTTTGCCCTCTGGAAGCAAACAAAAAAACCCAAACACTTTCTGTGTGCCAGTGGCTGATGTTAATGTCCGAATGCTGCTACAGCAGTGGTTTGCTGCTTGGCCAGCTGCTTTGAGGAGAAAGGGTGCAGACCTGGGACTGTTCATGCAGTGCAGGGAGCATCTGGTGTGCTGGGAGAGGTACTGCTGTCTCCTCTGGGGTGCCCAGCCCTGAGTTTTGCCCACTGAGCACGGGCTGGGGGTGGGTGCCAGAGCCCAAGTGGGTGATGGTCTTGGAGCCCTGTGCAGCCCTCAGCTTTGACACAAGGAGGGAGAACCTGCAAAGGGAATATTCTAAATGAAAGTATGCAGGAAACAGTTGGGTTTGATTGGTGTTGGGGTTTTTTTTTTGTGAGTTTATTTTTTAACTCAGCTCACAGCCAGCAGGCAATTATGATAACCTTAGGGCACGGTTGTTGCCAAATAAAATAAGACTAATTTTTTTTCAAATGTGGAAAAAAAATGGAAAAATGGCAATTTGCTTTCTTCCCTAAGCAAGTCTCTGGCTGTTGAGCTGGCACAGGTCAGCCCACTGCAATCTTGGCAGTGTTTTCAATGACAGCCGTTCAGAGAGGATGCTTTCATTAAAGAGCAGTGGTATCTACATTGAAATACTTCTGCTTTCTCACACTCTGCTGCTCGCTTGGAGCAGATAGGCTACTTCCTTCTGCTCTTGTGAACTTCCATCTGTGATTTAGTTCTGTAGCCACTTCCCTGGGGTGTCGCTGCCATTGTGAGCTGGGGTGTTTTGCTCTGGACCAGGAAATCTCTGTAGCTGGCAGCGGCAGTGTGCAGCAGGTGAACACCATGTTCATTAACTCAGGGATAAATGTTTTGGTAGGAGGAAAAAACCCTAACCAAGCCTGGAAGTTTTTGGCCTAAACAGTACCAAATCTATTCCCAAGATCACACTCTTGCTGGCTTGCAGTCCCTGTGTCTTGGCTGCCTTTTGGTTGAAGCTGCAGCTGGAAGCTGTTGAGCAAAGATCACAGCCAAGCACCTGTGGCCAGGGCTGGTGGCTTGAGGGAGCTTTTTTTTGGATGCCAGCAAATCCTGGCAACCCTGCAAGTGTATTCTGCAGGAGTGGGTGGGATGTTGTTGATGCACATGGCTGCTGGGCATTTTAATCCACTAGAGCTGCATTCATTACCTTCCACTTCAGGCAGAAAGGAGCCAAACATCCTCGAAGACCTTTTAAAGACCATTTTGGTTGTGTGATGCCAATGTGGCAGCAGCTGGACACACTGATAAAAATGCTGAACTATTGTTTCTCTGAAGCCCACACGTTATCTTGGGAGCTAACAGCTGGGATTCACCTTCCCATCTGTAACCACCAGCAACAGGAAGGAAGCACTGCTGGCATGTAAGTGAGCAAGCCTCTTTCTTCTTTTCCTCAGCAAGGTGCAGGTGTGCTGGCACAAAGCAGACCAGCTGTTTGATTCTTTTTAGCAGGGGATGCCCACAAACGTAGATGTCCAAGAAGTTTTTTAGAGATTAGGTTCCCAAATTCTTTGTAACAGAGTAGTCAAGAAATGGCCATGTAAAGCTGAGTACTCCTGCCCTCCTCACAATGGACCTCAGCTAACAAAACCCCACTACTGCTACTGAAATAATCTGGTTCTAGGACTGAGGTTTAGCTGCTCTACCTCCAGCTGTGCCTGCACTCAAGCCAGGTGCCCTTGATCCCTCCTGTGGCAGCAGGGAGGGATGATTTCTGCTGCAGCCACAGAACTGCCTGCAGCTTCTGGTGCTTCCTCATGCTGTCCACAAAAAAGTGTTTCAGGGAGTGAACTCTGCCCTTCATCCACTGGCTGCAGCTGCCCCAGCCCACCCCTGGCAGCAGGTGCCATCCCAAATCCCCCTGTGTCCTGACTCAACTGTGCTCATTGCTGAGTTATTTTCTTCTCAGTAGCTGTTACAGTGCTGTGTTTTGGATTTGGAATCCAAGCAGTGTTGATAACACACTAATGTTCTGTTTTTCTGCTAAGCAGTGTTTACCCTAAGTCAAGGATGTTTTTCTGCTGTTTCATGCTCTGCCCGTGAGAAGGGATGCAAAAGGAACGGGGGGAGCACAGCTGGGATAGGTGGCTTGTGCTCAGTAGGGATATTCCATACTGCAGAATGCCATGCCCAGTATATAAATGGGGCAGGCTTACCCACAAGGGGGGCCTGCCTGGGTTCAGGAAGGGGGGTCTGCCATCAGTCAGAGGGTGACTACTTGTATTGTCCATCACTTGTTTTTCTATGGTCATTTTTTTAACCTTTCACCATTACTACTATATTTTACTAATTTTCAGTTACTGAACTTTCTCAACATACAAAGTTTGCTTGGATTCTCCTCATTGCCCTGGGGTGGGGAGAAAGAGAAGGGGGTTTGAGTGAGCAGGGGATCTCTAAAGGGCTGGCTGTCACCTTGTGTCTGCTCAGGTCCCTGCTGGTACTGCCTGAGCTTACCAAGTATGAAATTTCCAATGATTCAAACTGGTCATTCTGGACAAGCAGTGCTGGAAGAGTGGATGTGCTTTTAATCTCATTTAGTGGCATTTAGCACACAGAAACTTCTGCTCATGCCTCTGGGACCTGCTCGCCCGGCAGCATTTTGACCATTAATATTCAAGAACATCTGCATGAACAAAGCTCAGCATCAAGCAGAGACAACAGCACTTGGGAAGACCAGCAGAGAATTGTTCATCACTGCTGCAAGTCCAGAGTTTAAATTAATCCAAAAGTGGGGGCCAGGGAATCAGACCTGAGCACCTCTGAGCCTCTCTTCTGGCAGATGGAAATCCTGCCAACAGCACTTGTGTAAGGGCCATGTGCAGAACCAGCACAGTGGAGCAGGAGAGGTTTTCCTGCTTATTAAGGGATGGATCCAAACAAGGCTCTACCAAATTCTCAATCATACCAGCCTTGTATGAATTTAGACTAGTCCTGCAGTGCCCTGGGTTACTGCAGAAGGTACCATATGGGACCCATAGCAGCATCTATCTTGATGTTTCTGTGTCTATGATGGTTTATATTGCAAGATCCCATAGCTGAGCTGGAGGCTGGATGATGACCTGGCCAAGGGCATTTAAAAACTCCACTTTCACCTTTATCATGTGCTCCCACCAGGCAGGAGCCAGCAGAGCCCTTGAATGAATGACACAGGTTCTGCTGCCAGCATGGGAGAGCATCTTTCATGTTCTCGATCAGCACCTCTGTGGGCTTATTGTTCCTTTCTCTCATACCACTTGGATTTTGTGACAGCTTTTGAGGTTAAAATTCCAATTGCACCTAACATGCTAGAAAAACTTCAAAATCATGCAGGAAGCAGGTAAAAAAAGCAGTTCACAAGCTGCCTGGCTTCTAGACCTGCTGGTTATCTTCTCTTACTTTACTCTGATACAGCATTTCCTAAGTCCATTTTTGAGCACTGTTCTGCTCCTCAGTATAACTGGTGCTACTCCACAGAAGGCTGCAAGCAAACCATTACACGTTGGCATTCCTCAAACTTCCTGGTTGCTTGCAGGTTGAAAACTCACTGCTTTTTTCTGTTTACTTCTAACCCTACATGTTTTTAATGACACCCATAAAAAGTTAGCCCTTTGCAAAAACCATAAACCCCATGAAAAATAGAGTGCTCTGCATGTTTTCCATTGTTCCTGAGCAGAGCTTATTTACCCTGTCCAAAGGCAGTGCAGATCAATGAAATACTTCCTTTAGTTACATGTTCAGGCATTTCATGCTGACTGTCCCTCTCGACCAAAGACAAACTGAAGCAGCTCACATAAAACCAGAAATATATCTAAAGCTTTCCTGCTATACTAAATCCTGCTGGGGATCTCACTCAAGGTAACCATTGCCCTCTGAAATGGCACAGTCATTTTTACCTGAATTACACTTACTACTTAATTACTGCTTAATCAGTATTGCATGGCATCCCCCTGAATGGTTGCAAGGAGCAACACAAGGGAGAAGCTGACCTAGACTTGCTGGGTACTTCAGTTTCTGAAACAGGACACGGATCCCACCAAGGAGCCCAGCTCATGAAAGGCAGGAACTCTCATCCTACACATCCCTGAACACAAATCCACAGAGGACTTGAGCAGTACGATGAGGACAGCAGTGTGAGCAAGCTCTGGCTACTGCCGGGGAGCACGTCATGTTCCACAGCAAGACACAAAGGCTGACTTCCTGTGTTCCTCTCGGCATCCTCAGATGGCTCCTGCAGCCATCTGCAAGCTGGGTCCTGCTGTAGAGCCCAAGGAGACACAAGTCAGTGGCAGTATTTATGAAAGCACACCCCCCCCCCCCCCCCGGAATGTGATCTGCTCTTCAAAACTCTCAGCAGTCCCTCTCCTGGGAACTGGGCATTTAATGCCACAGGACACTGAGCACCAGCCTGAAGTGTAGCTGTGGAGAGATACCTACACAGACAGCTCTAGAAAAAAATTGAGCAAAATCGTATGACTTATGTATAAGGGTTGTTTTACAAACCTCTGAAAGCATTTGATCACTCCCTGAGCCTTTCATTGCTTCCAAGTGCACCAATAATGGAATGTTTCCTTCCCTGTGTCATTCCCTGTGAGCGAAATGATGTATACACCTGAAGGACATGAAAGAATGTAAAAGCTGAGCTATCAAACCTCACCTTCATTTACAGATATAACAATGAGGTTATCCCACTCTGTGTTCTTCGCTTTTTAACATAGAACCTTTGAGAATATAATTAAATAGTCCCCTCCCTGCTCCCTCCTAAAAAGGATTGTTGAAGGGACAACCCTTGCAGTGTGCATTCCAAAAACAGGGGAACAGAGACAGACACATTTAGCAATCTTTCCCAAACCACAGAGGAACACAGTGACAAAGCCAGCAATAGAAACAGGCTTTGAAAAAAAACCAGACTTATGCCACCTAAATCATGTGTTCAGTCAATAATGTAGAAGATTGTGTGGTACAAATTAAAATAATATTTTTATTGATATTCTTAAACAGTATGGTATCAGCATAAAAATCAAACAAAAGATAAAACTATTCCTTGCTGTACCTTACCGACATTTCTGTTTCATTTTTTTTTCTCAGTAATCACATGGAGGGGACTGACATCTTCCCACAGATTTTATGGGTTTTTAACTGCATTGGTTTGTTCCCAGGGAGTCTAAGGATTGTGATGAGCACCATGGTTGTGGCTGTTTTTCCCCAAAGCCTGATACCAAGAGGAGCATCCTGTCCATTCCACACAAACACTGCACAAAAGGTTATGCACATTTGCAGGCTTCCAGATGAAGCCCTGACTGACCCCAGGAGAACCAAGGGTATTAACCTGCTTACATTGGAATGCAAGCTCACAAAGTTATGGGTTCCTCTAAGACACATTTTCCATTAAAGTTACCGAGGCTTGGAAAAGCCACAAAGCTACCAAGAAAAAGTAAGAGGAGAACTCAAAAGATTTCTAATAAAGATACCTCTAATACAAGTTTAATCTATAAACTTTTCCTGTCCAAAGACAAAGCATATATAGAAACATACAAGAAATACTCCGTGGGGAAAAAAGGCTACAGAAAATTACAAATTATCAGCTGCTTTAATTTATCTTCATCCTTACAGAATTGCACTGTGCTCAGTCCTGTCTGTAAACACCACAGCTTCCTCAGTGCAGTCTCTCTTACATCATAAATGTTTTTGTTAATCACTCTTTTCCTCTCCTTGGTAATGTCTGTATTCCGGCTTCAGCTCCCATGTGTTTTTGTGAGTCCCCTTCACATTGTAGATGCCTATTTCTCTCAAAATTTCTTTCAAGTATATCTGAAAGGAAACAAAAGTTCAAATTAAACAGGCAGACAATTGCCACAGTTCCTACATACCTGCTCAACTGCATGGATACAGTCCTAAGGGGCAGACAGCCCAGCTGGCTGATGGGCACTAACTGGTGTGGGAAGGACTCTGGGATAGACTTGGACCCTCAGGCACCAGCAGGGATTAGTGGAAGCCCCAGAGATGGAGCAGGGAGCACCTGAGTCCCAGGGGTGACAGCTCCCAGGCAGTCCCTCTGAGAGGCAAGTACTCCAGGGGCCGCTGAAATGAAGTTACCAGCACCTCTTGAGAACTATTAGCTCACACATCTTCCTCCTGCTAGAATTCCTCCAACTGAGCTAAAAGCTCTTGACCTTTCTTCCTGCTTGGGCTGGGATTATCTTGAAAATCCTTGCCTTATTCACACTCTTTCAAATCCTCAAGCTGTTGGTTTTCATGCCATTTTGCAAAGTTTTAAGCATTTTATTATGGTCTCATTTTTAGAGGAAAGCTGAGTAGACATCTGAGAATTTTCTAATACCTTAAAATTAAGGATTGGAAGAGAAAGAAAAAAAACCAAAACAAGTAGAGCTATTATACCAGTGGTATAATCCTTGACAAAACACAACTCACTGATATTGCCCTCCTTCACTCTTTATAATAAACACCAGTAATTTTCTTAGGAGTCACAAGAGCCTGCTTGTTTGTTTAATTATTAATTGGGACTGAGATGAGTGGATTGTCATAGCAACCACAGACCACAGTTTAAGAATCCCTACATTTAATTCATAATTCCTCAAGTTTGAGCAATTTAATCCTGTTGGAGTGCTTATGTTGAACTGGACTTGTTGGAATACTTGTATTTCCTTCATCTACAGTTCCACTAAGTGCAAATGTCAACATACTCCATTAAAAAAGAAAACAGCAGATATTGAAGACACAGGAAAATAAGAAAGGCTGATTGTTTAAGGTCTGTTCGTTACACTCTTCCCCCCTTTGCTAAATGGAAAAGCTAGGAAATACATAAACAAAAAAGTTCTCAGACAGTAAAAGAAGTGTCTTTTACAGAAACTTATCCTTCCTCTCCCTCTCCAGGTACACATCAAAAGTATGCAAAGCAGCGCAACATGTAAGAAATGTGACTGTCACAGATGTGCATATGAACCACTTTCGTAGGGTCTTTTTAGGGTGTTTCCTTTGAGGAGAGCAGCTGGGCACAGCAGCAGGGAGTTCACTGTGCAGGGATGGCTCCTCGGCCTTCGGGGGTGCCAGATGCAAACCCCAGCAGGTGGCAGCAGGAGATCACCGACGTCCCCTCACACACCTCGTCTGTTGCAGAGATGCCGTCATTATTCCTGTCAGGTACCCGGGTACGACAGCGATGCACCACGCACCGTGTAAAAGGTGCTGGGAACAGGTGAAACAGCCACTTCTGCATGGGTGTGTGCAGATGTGCACACCTGCATATCCACTGTCTGCTCTGTAATCCCTGCACACGAGGCAGTGTCATCAACAGACACTTCAAAGCATGGCAGAGTGGGTGGGAGAAACACCTGGCTGCAAGGTTAAATTCTGCTCTAGATGACATGGACAGAGAACTGGAGAAAATCCACCATAACTGCACTCAGTGCCATGAGGAACATTCATGTGCAATCCTCAGCTGGCAGATCTGGTCTGCCTGGGAAGCTGGGTCACAGCGTGTGATGCTGCTGCTGGGCTCAGGCAGAGTGAAACCACTGTGAATGAACTTTGCACAGCACTCACCCAAACCCATCCACCCAGCTATATGAAGGCTATTTTTAATTTCAACTACTTTTCAGACCTAATTACCTAGGCACTTCTGCTTCTCTCAGGGAAAGACTTCCAAGAGTGTAATGAAATGGAACAAAACCCACCCAAACTGAAAAGCAAGGTAAGGTCTGTGCCACAGATAATGGCACTTCAAGCTGGAACCATGAACTGCAGCAGCTGAAGATTTGCCACATATTCCTGTTTCCCATCTGTCCTGCAGGGGACAGCCAGGCAGCAGAGGTGTTAGGGAGGGCAGCTGACAGCATTAACCCCAAAACACCACTGTGTGTGCACAGACAACGCTGAACTGCTGGAGTTTTTAGACAATTATGAAACATGGATAATCCCACTGTGCTGTACTGTACCTGAGCGCAAGTGGCTTGAAGAGATGAGTTCAGGGGATGCTATGATTCTTCCTGCAGGATCAATTCTCCTTCTAGAAACCAGGACTCCCCACCTGGGTCTACACTGCACCAGGCTGGCCTATACATCTTGAAGCATAGTGCTCTGATAATGTACCACGGAGAGAAACCCCACACTACTCCGTGTGATGCCAAATACTGAATTTTAGAGCCTGGTGATTGCTAATCAGGGAGCAACGATTTTTTCTCAGAAAGGGATGCAGTGTGTTTGTGTACATTTAATTCTAGCACAGACATTCATCTGTAGGTGATCTGTTCATATATTTAAAGCATTCTCTGCTCTGCTCTACCTTTCCTCATGATTTTTTTCCACATGAAGTGTTATAATGGAATTATGGGATAAAAATTTCTGAGGAGTTAATTTACAAGCTCTGAAAATCCTGAAACTTTGAGGAGGAAACAAACCCCGCTGTATTTAGGACAACCATTACTTAAAGCTAAAATAGAAGAAAAAAATCCAAACAATATACTCAATTTTTAAAAAAATACAGTTCATCTTAGACCACTGGCTCCATCCTGGTTCCATTCTTCACAAATATTTGATTCCTCACAGAGAGTTGTATTATGTTCTCAGCCATAAAGCCCAAGTCTGGAATTACTGCAGTATTTCCAGGGAGCATTCAATGCTTACATCTGGGTAGGTGGCAAAAGATTTGCCTACTTCTGCAAATTGTTATTTTGCATTAGAATTAAAAAGAAATCCAGGTTTCCCTAATATAGCAGTAATTTACATTTAGAAAATACTTGTTTTATGATTTCATGACACAAAAAAAGATAGCAGCAATTTCTTCTGTAATATGTAACATATTCTGTAGCAATGATTAAATTTACTATTTACATTTACCATTATGTAGGAAAAATACCTGTATTTATTTGTAACTTCAAGTTCTCCAGTGGCTTAAGTGGGAGTTGTGGGTGACTACTGCAAGCTGATGTCATGGTAGATGAGATATATCTGTACTGACTTGCATTCAAAGTGATCGAGATAGTGACTGCCACACTTCTCTTACCAAAAATAAAAAACCAAAAACCAACCCACTTAAAATTTTCTTGCCACTTCCTCCGTATCTCCATATCTTCCTTCTATTCCTTCCTCCTTCTCAGCTCCCATGACCCACACACCTTCACTGCCACAGAGATAAGGAGCTGACTCGAGATAAATGAATGGAAGATATGGTACTCAACTTTCAAGTTTCTTTCAAGGCACTAGAAAACAGTGAACCTACATGGATTCGACTTGGGTAACATCTTCATGCAGCTTCTAACCAAAGAGATTATTCACTTACACAAATGCTGACAGAGATACACTTCATTCTAAATGTGAAGTGAGCAAAACTAGTAAGCATCTTAATTTCTGCCCCTTTTCTTTAACAGAGTATTTTTCCATAATCCAGCTGTTACTGTTCTTTCTTCTGTTTTAGCTCTAACAGCTTGTGACATTGTTGCTCCGTTTAGACTCAAACATGATTAAGTTCCTTAAAGTCTTCTGAATCTGCAGCTGGGTTGAGGATAGATATTGAAGTTGGCAGTGGAAAGCATCAAAACCACCAAAGGTCCTTTGCATGTCAGTGTCTCCCACCCATTCTTGCCTGGTCTGCTCAAGGAAAGCTTGAACACGGAAAGAAGGGAAAGAACTGGAAAGTTATGGTTCATACATGAAGAGGCTGACAGACATTGCAAGACAACAATACCATCACATATGCAGATGTCTTGGTGCTTTCTCTTGTCTGTGTATCAAAACACTCTTTAAAAGAAAACCCCAAATAAATCCTAAATATCAACCACCTAAACTCTTAACCTAAAAATTACCCTATTTGTCAAGGAAATCCAGTGACTTTTGGAGCCATTGTCACAATGCCTGAGCTCCTAACATGGATAATCCCTGCATTTAATACAAATCCCACGAAATATAGAGAAAGAGCAGCCCTGGTTCCAAAATAAAGTTCAGAAGCTGAGGGAAGGGCCAACCATAGATTAACACAAGCTTGCTACTGCCAAGAGAACTAGGCTTCAGTGAGGACAGGAGTTGCAGGGGAGACATGAGAGCATTTTTGAATTTGGTTCCTAGTATTAAAACAAACCTAAATAAAAAAGAGACCATTTAGGTTATTTAAACCATCTCTGTCAAGAAAAAGGACACTCATACCAATGTTTGGCATTCTACATTGTCCTACAATGCTGAACCTAAAACTTGGTGATTTCAATTTGTTGTAAACATATTTAGAGAGGAGTTTCTAAGGCATATAATATACATTAAACTGTTTTCTGGATATGTAAAATACACACACTAGTAACTACTGAAAATGGTTGTATTTACAAGACTTGCAGTACGTACCACTGGCTGTTTGGTTATGTCCACCAGGTCTTTAATATTATAATACTGATGTTTCTCAAAGGCTGAAAAAAGCATGTCCAACACTTGTTGTTTATCAGCTCGAGCTCGTTTTCCATCTTCTTTCTTCTTCTTCTCATATTCAATCTGTCATAAAACATGATTTAAAGACACTCATATGTAATGCTGTATAATTCTCAGTGCTGAACATTAAGCTACAAAGAAACCTCTTCCATTTAATAAAACACTGTTTAATGACTCAATGCTTTTCATCTGGAAAGTTTTTTTTTGAACATTCAAATATTTTTTTATGAACATAAACTAAGCATTTTGTCCTCAGCACAATAAGCTTCTCAGATGAATGTATCTGCTTTAACACAAAAAAGAAAAAAAGCAGAAACAGAGCTTTCAGGTGCCCAAATCTGGAAAGAGAATTAAGGAAAGAGCACAGGAATCCAAACTGACAGTATTCTTTGGTATCAGCTTCTGAGGTACAATGACAAATGCCAAACAGCCTCCAAACTGCCAAGCTTGGGAAAATCCACAGACTACATGGCTACATCCACAATCATAACAAGCACCTGCCCAAAGGATGCTCCCAACAGCCCTTCAACACTGTCTTGTTTTCTCCAGAAACGGCACTCAAGGCATCATCTCCATCAATATACAACCAATCTTCAAAGACACACTGAGAATCTGGATGGTTTCCCTTCAGGAGAAACCATAGTAGCACACATGAAGTTACACTAGTCCCAGAAAACCAAAGTTTCTAAGCAGGCAGAGGCCCCTTTTTGCCACACATCATCCTACTTCAAACTGCGCATTAAAAATTACTTAACCATTATAATCTACACCAGATGACTATATATTTTCACAGAAACTTTTATCACCTCCAAAAATACTTCCTCTGATTCATCATCAGAAGCACAGACCAACTCACCCCAAACAAACCCCAATCACCAGAGAGCAGCAACAGCGACACCTGCCAGCACATCACCCTATCCACCCCCAATACCACCCTCGAACAAAAAACCATCCATCCAGCTCCTTGGAACCAACAAAAGTGATCCAGAAGGTAGTGTAAGTCATGTAATTATCAAGTGCTTTCAGGCAAACTGCGTGGGTGAATCCATAGCGGCACAATGTACAGCAGAAAAGATGCATGTGATCAATAAGGGACACATGCCTGGCTGAAAATGGGATAATTCTGTATGGGAGTCATTCTGCTTCTGATGGCTCAAATCTGACTCTCAAAAAGAAGACCTTCAGATGAAAAGCCTAGAAATAAAAATGCAGAGATCTACTGGATACTAAAGATCTTATTTTTAAGAAGAAAGATTAGTTTTATGGCACAATTTATTTTTTCCTATGTATCCTTGCCAGCTAACTCCCTCCTACTCTCAGAGTGAAAATAGCTTGTCTCTTGGTAGCTGTCCCAAAGTGGCTAAAGACTATTGCCACCTTTGCCATAGCTCCCAGGTCTCCAGCCAGCCAACTACCTCCTTCGTATTCTGAAATGGATGTACATCATTAAACTGGATGCAAAGCAATTGTTCCCAACCTGTAGCTTGAAGTCTCTTACTTCTGCTTTAAACCTAAAATGGGTGCGCAACCGAATACTTGCCTGCTTTTGTAATTCTATGTAGTGTTATAAAAGCTACAATCTCACCACACAAACCCATCATGCTGGATTTTTATCCAGTAAGAGTTTAGTGTAATTATTTAACTATTTAGCCACTGCATTTAAAGAAGAATAAATCTTCAAAACAGTAATGGCTTTGCAACATAAGCAAACTGTAACATCAAGCAAACCAGCTTGACAGTAAATTGTCTTGGCTGCCATGATCCACAGCAGAAATGCTGCACCACAGACACAAGAGGAGGAACATAAACTTATGATGCTGGCTTTCCTTTAAACAATAGCATGTCAAAACATTTGCTTCTTCTGGAAGTCCAACAGACAATTATTATAAAAATTTTATGTGAATATTCCAATATTCTTAATTCATTAATGTAAAAAATCAACTCACATAGAAAACTGAATATCAAACCTCCCTTTTATTGAAAAGTTATTAGCAGCTGCTGCCCCAGTTGCCCACTCTCTAATTACCAACACTCTAGCATTTCCCTCTAACTTCAGCAACAGTTTCCACTGTTGCCTAAAAACAAAGCATAATGAGAAGAGCTAAAAAAAAAAATAAAAAATAAGCCTTGTGTCTTCTGTTGCTGATTTCTTCCTTTTCGTCTTGTGAGTACACTGCTCATAGCAAGTTACAATGCAGCCTTTCATTTTTTCCCTTCCTGTTTTCTTTGCAAACAGGATCTTTAATGTATGTGTAATGCGCTTTTTAATAGCCATGTAATAGAATGCACCTACACTGTAAACTAATTAGTTTTCTTTAAAGTTCTGTGTCTTTTTTTAATTTAAAAAACATTCAAATACAATTTGATTTCAAGGAAGAACCATTTTAGAAAAAGCTGTTTAGCACAGAAGCTGTGAGTTTATCCCCAGAAGAATTTATACTGAAATCAATTTTTCTTTGTTTACCTTCCCAGGATGTTGCTAAGCTTGCTGAAAAGCTGCCAAAATTGCCTTCTTGAAAGTATCATTAATACTGAAACTGATGTAACTGCTTTAGTAAACAGCAAATAGAAAGGTGATAGAGAAGCTAGAATAAATCCAAATTTCATCCACCAATGCTTTAGAGTAGTCTTAAAGGTTTTCTTGTCTCCTGGAGCATGGGTATCAACCTCTATAGTACAGGATATTGGGAAGAGAGAACCACAAAGAAACCACTAAAAGAAGCCTCTAAAGGGATAACCAGAACCACTTTTCTGCTGTATTATGAAAAGTAATTAAGTGACAGAAAGGTTCCAGCTGCAAGAATATTAACCTTGCAACTTTGTAAACACATTTAATATTTACAGATATAATGGAGGTCTTGTCCCAAGAAGAAAATCTAAGTTACAATCTTAGCATATATTGTAATGCAATTGCAATTTCTTCAAATAAAAATGTGGGCTTAATATGATTTCTTGGAAAAATAACCTAATCACTTTCCCAGTCCTTGAACTCAAACAAGCTATTGCTATTCCCCATCCACATGTAATTTATTTCCCTCCTCCTTCCTGTTGTATGTTCATTTATAGGTACATGGAGCAGCCACACTTAAGCCCCATTTTATATTCTTCCCTTCCAGAAATATTAACCCTTTCTATCTTACTTAGTAAATCCTCATTCTTCCCTCAAAATCTGCCCAGATGATGGCTGTATTAGCACATAAGCACATAAGCAGTTTGTAGATTTTTATTTCTTTCTTGTGAAAGTCCTGTCCCCAACACAGCACCCATATGATAACAGGCAAAGCAAGTTCTAAGAAAGCGGTTGCTGCTTGAAAACAGCAGAAAAATTCAACCAGGAGGTTTTACAAGTTCATAGACTTTTTATCCTAGTTACATATCCTTTCAGCCATCTAACCTGAACGTTAACAAAAGACTCTGTGAAAATAAAGACTTTGTAGAAAGTAGTCATGCCTTGGTCTTTAGAGTCAAGGCAAGGTCAAGGTGACTAAAGTACAAGTATGTTTTACAAGATTTTTCCCATCAAAACACCTTTAAGGTAGACATGAAAACTAAACACACTGCTGATGGATTTCCATGACTATGGACAGCTATGTAACCAATAAAAACATTACAATTAGGACACAAGAGCACCACCACTTTTAACAGGCCTGGTTATGTTCTGGTAATACCCCCTGAAATCTCACACATGATTTAAACTTCCATAATGATATGATGACCTGCAGTTTGCAGCTGGAATAAAGATATAAAGATTATCTCCAGCTTGAAGTCATACTGCTGTGATTATGCTGGTGTTAGGGAAATGGAACAACATCACACTAAAAAGAGAAGCTGTACCCCACCAAAGCTTACTCCCAAATTAGAAAAGGAGAACACCAGCAGCATCATAAAACAATATACCCATGTAAAACTGCATCTGCATAGCAGGACACATTAGTGTGACTGTTTTGGTTAAATAAAATTATCTCAGCTGCAATAGTTATATTGGTATGATCATCCACGTACAGAGAAGACTTTGAACAGTAACTACTACAAAACAGCCCCAAGAGAGAGAAATGATTATTTCTGGTTCTGTGGCAATAGACTAGTGTTCATACTAATGCTAAAATATCACCCAGTATATTGTCACTTGTTTCATGTAAATAAAATCTTAATAAAAAGTGTAAAAGTTTAAGTGACTAACAGTGATTCATTTTCAGTATGACTTAATGTTCCTCACATTCAACATAGTCAAGAGGATCTTTAAGGAAAAGGACGTTACAGTTTATATGTACATCAACTGATCTGGAACACCAGTGTGGGTGTAATATTGACAAAGCCAATGATGCCAATAACATGCACTGTGAAGGTATGAAACTGAGAAAAATTATCAGCTGTAACTCTTTTCTACTTGTTGCCAATTATTCCAAAGGACTGGAAACTAATCATTCTTTTCAAGTCCTTTACCCTCCTGCAGATGATAAATTATTTGGCTCAAAAGTGCTTCCACATCTCATAGCACAAAGCCAGAACTGTCTTTCATCCACAAAGGTCAAAATTACATTAAAAAAAAAAAAAATTAGAGGAAGAATGTAATAAAGCCACTAAAAAGGGTTGGGCGAAGGTGGTCTGCCCTCCATCAGATAACACAAGACAGTTACAACTAGCAGACTTTAGCCCCTAGGGTGATATCGGTCTTGAGACAGAAAGAAGTTCTCGGGAAGACAAAATCAAGGAGAAACCAGACGACATAAAACATTGCCAAAGACAGTGGCCAACTGTGAGCAAAAGAACTGCTGGACAGCAGCAGAGCAGTCCTGGAGTCCTAAGCCAAATTCCTCCTTAAGAAAAGAAGGGAAAATACCAAAAGCAACTTACATTATACTGATGATTAGCCACTGGTTTATAGTTTGTGGTTACAGCTTTGTCCAGCTGCTGTGATAACCTCACAGGTTTAGAAGATTCTTCTATCTGTAATCTACAAAAAAAGAAAACAAGAATAAAAAGTTTAGACAAGCACACACTCAAAAGTGAATTCTAAAAATCTGCAATTATGAACCAGCCATTATCAAAGGTCAGTTGCAAACAATCCATAAGGCAAAATAGATGCACTCTTCTGAATTAAGTTCTTCCTACTGTATTTTTGCTTAAGGACACTAAACTATTAGGGTGCTACATTTATTTTTTTTATATATATATTTGTGTGTGTGTGTGTATATATATATATATATAAAAATTATATTATATTGTATCTATTATATTAATTATATTATGCTACAGAAGATACTGAAATCAAACAACTGAAGAGATACTATAAACAAAGTTTGAACACCAATTTCACTGCAAAAGCCTAATGCTCAGATTGAAAAAGCCCTTTCTCTTAAAAAGGATCAAACCCAAACTAATGTAACATCTCACAGCTTACTCAACTGAGGGATGAAAAAGCTTGTCATCCATCTCTGCTAACTCATGAACTTCTCTTAGATATTTAAATGTAAAAACATAAATTTCTGTGACCTTTCTTTTGGCATTACAGTATAGTAAGAGAGTGCAAATAATGGTTTCAAGAGCCTTATAAAGACATGAAGACAGAAAATTCCACTCAGTTTCAAATCAATGTGCAATCAAGTCTCTATCACACAGAAAACAATAGGTGACCTTCAGTCCTCTTTGGGAAAGACTCTCAGAAGGCCAGAGGTTGAGGACATCTTGTCAATCTCATCCCTATGTAATTTAAAGCTTCTGTATGTTGATGTAGAGGGAGCGTTCCATTTAATTCAGATTTAGCATTCAAGAATTTCTATTTGAAATGAAGAGGCAAGAAACCAAGCTCTAGAAAAGCACAGGACAACGGCCCTTCAGACACAATGGCTTTGTGGCACATCTGATTAACATGTTAATTATCAGTGAAGCTGTTTTGTTTCCAAAGGTGTATCTTGTAGGCAGAAGAGTCAATTTCCACTAAACACAGTAAAACACAGCCCAATAAATGGACAATGATGCTTGCTTCTTTCCCAACAAAAATTAATATGGTGACATTAATGCAAATAACAACTGCATGTTTGCTAGTGTAAAACATAAAAAGATAAAACTGACAGTTCTTTAAAAACAACTGCAAATGTGTGACATCACTGATTTAGTTTTGTAAAGATATCATTTACACCCAAAAAGATAAAATTTAAATTCAGTGTGTTTCTGATTTAACACCTGAACAACCAAAATAAATTACATTTGAAGGAAGTCTTAAATTAAGAAATACATTCTCTAGTTGAAAGAAAATCATCCCTCATAGCTGGTATTGCTGGACAACAGGTGGGGACAGGCTTTTTCTCATACACAGATAAACACGCTTCCTCTCAAATCTTTGCAGACTTGTCATTCTTTCTGTAGCTTTAACTACTCTTAAGCAATCATTGCTTCATATTCTACATTTTTATACCAAGGCTGCCTTCTGTCCAAATGTAGCATGTTTCCTTCTTAGCTTGAAGGAAAATCAATTGGAAGGTAAATGAACAGTGAATATTTTTTGCTTATCACAAGAGTTTATCTTTTGGCCTTCTATCTAATTAAATTATTTTAAAGATTTTTTTTTGATCTGGTTACCAAAGGTCTTCTAAACTCATGTTTCACAAAGAGGCATAGGCCAAAACTAAATCACTATCTTTTCTATGAATCTGTCTTTTTCTCAATTTTTCCAATGCTTAATATTTTTCCTTTTGGTCTCAATAACTTTTTAAAATTTTAAATAGTTTGGCTTTAATTCTTTATTTTTTTTTTCCCAGTTCATCATGTTTCCTATTGATTTGATCTGGGGAGTTTTCCAGTCCTCCTTCTCCTGTATTTTAACTATTTTTCATCTCACTTCTCCCCCATTTTTCCTTTTCATGAAGGAGATTTCCTGTTCAACCCGTTTACTGATACTGCTCCTGTTCATGAGACAGGGGCTCCTTGAGACAAACTGGGAATTGTTGTCACTCTCTTCCCCTCCAAGGCCACTGCACCAACTTCATGTGCACCAGATTAAGTTATTTGATTTACAATGTTGCTCCAGAGTCCTTCTCATAATGGCTATGGCACAGGGTCCTAACAATACTTAAATACGTCAGATGGTGTCACGTTTTCAGTGAGCACCAGGCATTCAACTGTGGCATTTCTTCATGATTAATCCTCCTTGCACTGGGCTTTATTTATATTCATTACTCTTTACAATGTAAGTTTACACTATCCTCCATTTCTTCAGGTAAACAGCCAAAGAACATTAGCTCTTCAATGATGAAGCCATGGACTTTAGACACCACTCATGTTCAAGGCCTCTTCCTGATTTGGCATTTTAAAATTACAATAGAGAAAATTCCAACCCCCATTCAGTGCAGCTTCCTTAAATGAATACTTCTTTGCACTAAAGTACACCAGCAATTTATTTCTTAACATTTGTCTTGGTTTGCAATACAAGATGTAACCAAAAGTATGTATTCTATTACCATCTATTAAAACCACATGTGGCAGTGTTCTTTATCTCTTCCATGACCCATCGTCCCTCCAGGGTGATATCTTCTGTTAATGGGCTACTGAGTCTCACTGCAGGACTGATAAAATTACATCATCCCAGTGTGAGATGCTCCACCCAGGGGGAGGAGCCAAGCATTCCTACCTGGATAGAATCTGAGACTTGGAACACCACAGACAGCCTTTTTCTACTGGATTCCCAGAAAAAAAAACAAACTGTTCTACATCACTACTAGACCTTCAGAAAAAAACCAACATCATTCTACAAGATCACTGCTTCAACAAAACCACATCTGTCACTCAAGAAAAACTACAACTACCACTTAATCAAACTACTACCAACACCCTAACCAACAAAATGTAACTAACTCTATCAGTATTTTTTAATATTACTATATTTTATTTTAATTTTCCTATTAAGTTATACTTTTTTTACATACTAATAAAAACATATTATTTCTATTCCAATATCTTTACCTAAAAGCCCCTTAATTTCAAAATTATAATTTAAAAAGATTAGATTTTCCATTTCAAAAAAAGCTTCTACCTTCCTTAACAAACACCTATCTTTTCAAACCAAAACAACATTTTTCACTCACCATGCAGAAGGATATGCATATATTAACTTGCCAATTTCCAAACCAGTAGAAAACCAAACACGTAAGAGAGCTAATACACTTCCCAGAGGCCTCCCTCCAAAGGTTGATGGAAGTGAAGGTACACTTAACAAGTTAAGTTCTCCAGCACACAATCTTGAAAACAAAGAAAAACTTACTGCCTATGTAGGAAACAGGATGGAAGCCAACCAAGTGAAAATGGAAAGGGATCACCTATGTTTGTTTGTGAAATGGCAGAAGACTTCAGAAAGATCTATACATAGCAAGTAAAAAACACATCAGCTACAAATGTATTTCTCTGAAATTTCAGACATATTTGTGTTGTACTTCAGTAGTTCTTGTGAAAGGTTTCCAAATTACAACCACAGATCTCACAAATCTCAGATGATCTTTAGAAAACTGGCTTACAGTAAAATAACCTTTTTATTTTTGTTTCTACTACTGTAGTGCGAGCTAAAAATATACTGCTTTCCTGATACTACTTTTTAATGCAAACAATTACACCAGTGGCCACATGCCAATATGGAAATTTATATGTGAAGGATGGTGACTCAAGAGGCAAACCTTTTTATTATAGCTTTTATTCTACACATGCATCTTGCTCTTCTCCCTAATGGCTGCCCTTCCCATTTATTTTTCTGCAGCTTTCATGATTTCACAGAGCCTCAGGTTTAATTCCCTTTACCTTCCTTCCACCGGGCTTCCAGGTATAATATTGCCACACAATCCTGTGAGGAATAATAGCTGATGCACATCTGGAGTTGGCCTCCCAAAAACATACAAATAAAGGGACTGACAAACAAGGTATAAACATCAAATTAGCAAATGGTTGACGTGGGGGTGAAGCACTGAAATTTGCTTAGTGTATTACAAAGGGTGAAGACAAATAGCCCATAATAATTTTGTAGAGATGATTTGTTGATACAGACACTATCTGCAGGGAAAATACAGCATGGTTGTTTGGGTTTTTACAAGATGATGCTGCAATTCTGTTATATTCAGAAAGTCTACATCTGGGAGAATATAATTGACTTTTTAAATTTGCATAGCTGTTGTCTGAAAAAAATTGACGAAATATATAAATTTATACATTCCAGTAATTATACACTTAATAATACATAACAAAAACTATAGATTGGGAATTATACTAGCCTGTTAGATGTTTTAACATGTTACAGATGTAATTACTTTTAAGTGTTCATTTCTTAAACAGAATTTCAAAAGCAGTATTAACCAAGAAAATCAGGCAGTACTTTATGTAGAATTTTCTCAGAGTGGACCTGCTGAATCTTAATTGAAACTGCCGGTAGGAATACAGAAAAAAAATCAATAGATATTCTGAGTCACTGGTGACACTGATTTAAAGGAGCAGTGGCTTTTTACCTATTACTCTTTATCATGATTTGTAGGAATCAAAAGACTTAGTTATGGCTCTGAACAATACACAAATCCTGAAGGAATTAAATTTTACCCTGAACTCTTGCTGAAATAGCTAGAGCCATAATTCACGCTAATATCTGGTCTAAAAAAATAGAGAGAAAATGCCGATATTTTTTCCCCAAAACTGCCAATGAATTAGCAACAGAGCAGCCACCAGCCTGCACACTGTGGTTTTCTCTTCCACCCCCAAGATCAAATATAGCTCTTCCACCTTGAAATACAGCAAGTAACCAGCACGGCATTGAATTCATCATGGTCATTTTCACAGCAAAACACATTTCATACTGCAGCTTTGATTTGACACTGTGCTTACAATTGAATAAGGGGAAAAAACCATTCAAACAGACTGGAAATAATTCCATAGGACTTGGCAACATGTAGCTCATAAAAGGAGACAGATAAAGACAGTATGTAC